TAAGCCACTATGCAGTATATTCTAGATGGGAAACCACATTTAGAATGTTGTGATGATGCTCAGGGAATGAATGTAAATTAATAAAAAAAATTTTCAGAAGAAAAAAAAAGGCATTAGAAATACCTATTTGATGACTGCAGTTAAGCTATATAGCCCTAGTTAGGTGCTACTTTATAGTATGTTCATTCTATTCACTGAGGTTTGTTTATGCCTAAAGTCAGACTTGTGTTCACGGATATGTACATATCAGCTGTGCTTGCTATTGAAAATATTTAGATTTATTAAGATATTTAGTGAAACAATAAAATGGGGGAGGCATAGAAAGGAATAGATACCAGACACAGTGTGGGAGGAGGGTGGGAGATGGCAGAGGGTGAGATAGGGAATCAAAGATGGGAAAAAAGGCAAAATATACAGAAAACAATAAATGGAAAATGATTTGTTGACAATAACAAAAAAAAAAGAAATAGGAGAAAACCAAGAAATACTTCCCCACAAGGTAACATAATAACTCCTAACCAACAATGGATAAAACATAAGAGATCATAATAAAAATGTCAGAAAAATAATTCAGAATTTGCAACTCAAAGAGATGCAAGAGAAAACAGACAACCAATTCCAGGAGATGAGAAAATCCTTCCATGACTTGAAGGAGGAACTCCATAAAGAAATAGACACCCTGAAAAAGAATCAAACAGAACTTCTGGAGATAAAAAAATACAATGTAGGAAATTAAAAAACTTCCCTCAAAAGTATCAGCAGCAGATTAGACTGCACAGAAGAAAGAATTTCTGACCTTGAAGACAAAACCTCTGATTTAGTCCAAGCACCCAAAAAGGATGGAACAATAATCATTAAAAATTAGGACAACAAATGGAAATCCTAGACATCATTAAATGGCTGAATGTCCACATAATCGATATTTAAAATGGTGAAGAGACAGGCACTTTCTATGACTTTGCCATAGAAAGTATCTTTCATGATATATTAGCTGAAAACTTTCCAAATTTAGAGAGGCATATGGGCATCCAAATCCAAGAAATACAAAGGTCACCAAATAGAAGAAGATCCTCTCCAAGGCATATCATAACCAAATTGCTAAATATCAAAGACAAAGGTAATATTCTTAAAATGGCAAGAAATGTGAAGCTACTTAACAAAGTTACCCCATTGGACTAACATTGGACCTCTCAACTGAAATAGTGCAGGCAAGGGAAGAATGGGAAGACGTATTTAAAACCCTGAAAGGAAAACCAATTTTTGCAAAGTCTTTGTTCTATACCCAGCAAGATTATCCTTCAAATCGGAAAGAGAAATTCAGTCATTCCCAGATAAACAAATGCTAAAAGACTTCACCAAAACTAAACCAGTACTTTAGTAAATACTGAAGGGAATACTACACCAGGAAAACTAAAGGGAGATAAATGGAAAAAAGAGAACACAAAACAACTAAAAAAAAAGGATAAGTTCACACATGGATAATAACACTGAATATCAGGATTAAATTTCCCAACTAAAAGGTTAAAAATGCAGATTCAACTATTTCATACATAAGTATGTTTAACTAAGAATTGACCAATTATACGATAGACAGCTGTCTCCACAGGTTTCAATTTATGTATTTATCATTCACTATATAAAACTAGATTACAAAGAAAAGGTCCAAAATGTTACAAGTAACTGAATCTTTGTATGGAATGAATTTAAAGAAGGCTAAAACCAAGAACTGTGTAAAGCCTGCAAATTACCAAATCACTGACTTTACCATGTATTCACTTTTAAACATTTCTTTCCAATTTTGTTTTGGCTTTCTATGTTTGGTGACTTATTTCTTTATGTCCTCAGAACTCACAATGAGTGAGTAAAAGTTTTCTTTTTCTCTCTCTTCCTAATGAGCTATTGTTGTGCATAATTTTGGCTATCTCTTACTGAGTCGATGATATTACAGATCTTATCAGGATATAAACTCTTACTGCCCATAGTCCTCTACATGGAAATTACAAATTCTTCTTTAATTGGCTAGGTTAGGATGATTTTTATTTTTAAAAATCCATCCTCATTAATTTATGGGGCTTTTTTTGTCTTATTTGTAATCAATTTGTCATTCTTTAGAACTGTATTTCACAGTAAAGAATGTCATAGAGAGGAACCAGCAGTCAGCGTAATGGCTATGTCGCTGGACTCCCACGTAGTCAACCACGGTTCAAGTCCCGGACTTGGCGGCTTAAACTCACACCGGGTGCGTGTGCGTGCGTGCCCAAGATCCCGAGAGGAGAATGGAGGAGAAGGGATTGCGATGTGGCCATCCCCACTGGGGAGTGATTTCTTGCTTTCTGTCTCTCTGTCTCTCTCTGTCTATCTGGTGAGTGCATGCGCCCTATATAGCAAAAACCTCTCCAAAAAAAAAAAAAAAAAAAGAATGTCATAGACAATTCAGTACATACTTTCTGATAACCAGTGAAAAGGGTTTGGAATATTCACAACATATAATATTAAACATTGTGGGACCAGCAGTTAGTGTAATGGCTGTGTCACTGGAGTCTCATGTAGTCAACCACGGTTGGAGTCCTGGACCCAGTAGCTTAAACTCACGCCAGGCACGTGTACATGTGTGCCCAAGATCCTAAGAGAAGAATGGAGGAGAAGGGACTGCGGCATGGCCATCCCCCTGGGGAGTGATTTCTCTCTGTCTCTCTGTCTCTCTCTGTCTTTCTGGTAAGCGTGTGCACCCTAAAGCAAAAACCTCTCAAAAAAAAAAATATATATATATATATGTACACTGTGGACATGTTTTTAAAGATCTTTCTGTGGGCCAGCAGGTGGCATGGTGGTTAAGGTGCTGGATTCCCACATGGCCGACCATGGTTTAAGTCCCAGACCTGGTGACTTGAAAATCACACTGGATGCATGTGTGTGTGTACTCAGAATCCCAAGAGGAGAATGAAGGAGAAGGGACTGCAACACAGCCACCTCACCAGGAAGGTGGTAATTTCTCACTTTCCTTTTCCTTCTGTCTCTCTCCAGCGTGTGCATGCAAAAACTTAAAAAAAAAAATCTGTATCCAACAAAGATGTGTAAAGATTATATGTAAATCATTTATAATAAACATTTTAAAATAACAATATAAAACAAACACAAAACATAAAAATTGAACACAAGAACTAAAAGATGCTTGGTAGGGTTTTCAGTCTCTAGATATTTCCTCTTATGACATCCTCTTGTTAGGACTATAATTCTTGGGTTTTCTCTGCCACTTTGTTTCTGTAATCATCACTGTATTTTTTCCTTTTTATCTATTTTTTTCTATATAAGTTTATTCCAAAGAATACATACTTAGAGAGTATTGACTATATGCAAGGTGGTATGCTAGCTGCTGAATATTCAGTGAAAAATAAACAGTAAGTCCTTTCCATCATTAATTTTACAGTCTTTTCAGATCAAGTTCTACTAAATACACCATTTATGTACTTAGTTTCTTTTTCCCTGCATTACTATACTAAATTTAGTTCACGTATACCAACTGGGATTTGTTTATGTTATGCTTATAAACATTAAGTGTATGTAATAGGTCCTTGGCATGAGCATCAAACTGAGCATTAGAATTTTCAGTGAATTAGGAAAAACCCAAAGGTTTATGAAGTCTGATCATCTGTACATAGGCTGAAACAGGAATTTCCATCTAAATACTGTTTTCTACATCTGCAAACAATTTTTCCTTTTCATGTTGCTACCCCTTATCTACCCTACATTGTTAAAAAATAAACTGATTTGAAATTTTTTTTAAAAAAGAAATGAAACAGTTACACATAGGTCTTCTAAATAATCGGTGGACATTCTGCAAATGAGTCTTCCCACTCCTATTCTTGTTAGTGTTCCTATTTCTGTGGCTTTCATACATCTTAATATCCATACTGCCCCCAGAATCACTGTGAATTCTCGGTAGTTGTGTTCAAGGTTACACAACCTGCAGAGCTACCTGTCCATTCAGAGTTGCCCACAAATGAAGGGCAAGGGCCCCTCACATGTGCGAAGAGGGCCACTGGATGGGACCACACTTTCAAGAGTTCTGTATCCCCACAGAACCTTCTGGCTGCCAACTTGCACGAACAGTTTAACCAAATCAAGGCACTTCCTTCGATCCCCAGCTCTGTAACAGTGCCACTGACACCACTGGGCACATAGCCCCTTTCAGAGAAAGTCACTGCAGGGGTGGAAAATGTGGCCACAATCTAGTTCATTCCCCCACTCTGGGAATACTAGGACTACAGTCCCTGCCATTTGAGAAAAGAACTTGTGCTGCAATAAAGTCTCACTTCACAAGGTGTGGGAGAAACCAAGTGGAAGTCGTTTCCCCTAGACAGGACTGGCCGGCACAGGATGGATTTGAAACGGGGATGAGAAATGGATGGAGGGCAAACATCCCAGACTGCGGCAGGCCCCTCTTCACAAGCTCCAGTCCAATTGCAGCTGAGACTCTGGTTGCACCTGGACAGGGGACTCCTAGCCAGAGCAGAGGATTCAAGGGACCCTCTGCAAGCTGGAGGGCCAGAGCCGAGAGGGCACACTGGCTGGGTAAGGCCCACTCCTGGAGCTTTCCCCAGAAAGCCATCTGCCAAAACAGGTCAGTCATTCACACTGCCAAATCGGAAATTCATTCTCAAGAAAATGTCGCGTAGGAAGAAGTGTCCAACAGAAAGGTGACTTTTCCAGGGAATTTCAAGTTCGGGACAAGAAGGACCCAACTCCCCAGGCAGCTTCCCCACTCCACTGCTGTCCCTACCGGAGGGGAACGAGTTGATACGCGGCTCACAGTGAAGTTCTGGGGAGCTCGAAGGACCAGCCCGCAGCTCAGATGTACTCTCCAAGGAGGCGGGAACAGCGTCGGGGAGGTTCGCCCGGCTTGCCCCATGCCAGACACACAGACTGGGACGCCAGTTGATCCCTCCAGGCGCGCAACCTCGGTCGCCCCTTTGTGCCGCCCAGTACAGAAAGTTACTTACCTGGTGGAGGCGACTCCGAAGCCAACTTTTCCCTCTTGGGAGTTTTCTTGGGTTTGTTCGCCCTCTTGGGAGGCCTGGGCTCGGGCAGGCGCTCCAGCTTCTCCTCCCCCGCCCTCGGAGGCAGCGGCGGAGAGAAGGGCTCCGGCTCGGGCTCAGGCTCCGGGTGAGTGTAGTAGGGCTCCTGGCTCCAGATCTCCTGCACGTAATAG